GCTGTTAAGCTGTAACCGTAAGTTCATGTATATATACGTAATTGGGTGTGCGGGTTGTGATAAGATGGACTTCATGACTTTGATTCTGCACTTCACTTGGTGGAATTAATATTAGAATGTTAGGGTTTGGAATCCAAGTGAGAATATAAAATACATTTAATTTTAAGACCTAACCAGGAACGACTGCAAAAATGCAGCACAAGGTCCTCTGGTAGGAATCGAACCTACGGCCCTGCGATTCCGGTGCAGCGCTCTAACCAACTGAGCTACAGTGGCCAGCTGTTAAGCTGTAACCGTAAGTTCATGTATATATAGGTAATCGGGTGTGCGGGTTGTGATAAGGTGGACTTCATGACTTAGATTTTGCACTTCACTTGGTGGTACTTTTGAATAATTGAATACAGTTGAATGTGAGGCCCAATCTAAGGCCGTATCTGGGGCCCAATCCGTGGCTACTTTCACAGTGCTAAAACGATTGTTATCTCTAAGCGAAGACATATGGCTGTAAATCTACTTACGAAGTTTTGAACATTCACCCAGGGTGCTATAAACCTACGCGTGCTTAATATAGTCTAGTGTATAGATGTAGACCTTGACCCGAACACAAAAACGGCAGCCGTCTCAAATTTCAACACTTTGATTTATGACATATATGTCTCCCTTCGATGCCTCAAAATTTCTCCCATTTATATACTAGTCGTCTATTTCCCTTACATATACAGTAATAGAGTTCAAACATGACGCCCCTATACAGTAAATCTACCCAACCGAATTGGTGTTATTACAGTAAGAAACTGTTGCTTGTAGAACTAAAAGCCTACAATGAAGACTTTCCTGTCAACGCCGCGCGATAAGTTCAGCAAAATTCAATTTTTATTAACTCGAACATGTCTGTCAAATGTGATATTTTGCCCAATATTTTGAATTATGTTTCCCATATGAGAACCGCATTGTGAGATATCATATATTCATATTATATTTTTATTTATTACCTCCAACATATCTGTCAAATGCGTTTAAATATATTTTGCCAAATACTTTGGATTACCTTTCCCACATGAGAACCGCATTGTAAGATATCATATATTCATATTATATTTTTATTTATTACCTCCAACATGTCTGCCAAATGAGTTTTAATATATTTTGCCAAATACTTTAAATTGCGTTTCCCACATGAGAGCCGCAACGTGAGATATCATATATTCATATTATATTTTTATTTATTACGTCCAACATGTCTGTCAAACGCGTTTAAATATATTAACGTCGAACATGTCTGTCAAATGTGTTTAAATATATATTTTGCCAAATACTTTGAATTACGTTTCGCACACGAGAACCGCAATGTTAGATATAACATTTTGTACACATCCTATAGTTGGCTAAAGTGTATGTAAGTAATAATAAAATATAGCAATGTAATATCTGATATAAGCATCCTACACCAAATGACACCACGCGACCATCATACACCATCTGTACCATCTTCACCGTCTGACAGCTCTTCCCTGTATAACCACCCTACGCCATCATACACCATCTGACAAGCATCTGACACACTTCGACCATCATACACCATCTGATCGTCTGACACATTTCGACCATCATAACCATCATACACCATCTGACAACCATCTGACAACCATCTGACACACTTCGACCATCATACACCATCTTCACCATCTGACAACCCTTCCCTGTATAACCACCCTACACCATCATACACCATCTGACAACCATCTGACACACTTCGACCATCATACACCATCTGATCATCTGACACATTTCGACCATCATAACCATCATACACCATCTGACAACCATCTGACAACCATCTGACACACTTCAACCATCATACACCACCGTACACCATCTTCACCATCAGACATCAGATGCCTGTATTGAACATTACTCAGTTTTAGAACGGAAGGTGACCGACCATTTGAAGTAACCGCCGTGGACTTCGCAAGACCGCTGCACTATAAAATTACTAAGAAAGATGACGGAAATGCTATGTCTTAATATTTATGTGCGCAACCTCAAGAGCGATTCATTTGGAAGTAAAGAAAGATCAAACGGCTGCAGAATTTTATAGGAAATTCAATGCTTTCATTACCCGTAGAACGAGACTGCGTATGATAATATCGCACAGCGGGCAAACTTTCAAAGTTACAGCTGAATGGGTAAAGATTATAAGGAAGAGCGAGAAAATACAGAACTATCTTGCAAACGAAAAAATCAGTTGGCAATTCATTCTTTCGAAATCCCATGGTGGGGAGGTTTCTACGAAAGGCTTATTAAAGAAGTCAAGAAAACTTTATATAAAACACTGGGGAAATCTCACTTGTCATTTGAGGGGATGGAACAAGTGGTAATGAATATTGAGAACATTTTGAATAATCGGCCGTTGACGTACGTGGAGGGCGAGACAGAGTCGAAGGTGCTAACACCAAATGTTATTATGTGGGGAGGAAATGCATATCCACCCGAGGAACTTGGAAACAAACATGGATGAGTTGACATCGATGAACAGGCGGCTGATTAACGCAAGACAACACGCATGGCAATGCTGGAAAAGGGAGTATATTCACGCTTTAATGGAAACGCATCGGACAAAAACGAGTAGCGGGAGTGTACCAGAAGTTGGCGACATACTCTTGATCGTGGGTGATGAAAAGGATCGTGGTGAATGGAAGAAAGGTCGTGTACTACGCTTAGTAAAGGGCAAGGACGGTGTTGTACGGGGCGTCGTTTTGTGTCACAAAGGTCGAATAATCGAGCGGAATTTACAATTAATCTGTCCACTGGAACTTAAAGTCGCAGAAAGTGTCGTGGAGCAAAAGCAGAACGAAACGGTCTCTGAGAATCAACGAGTCCAGAGAAACGCGGCGAAGGAAGCTGACCAGAGAATACTGTAGCAGTTAGAGGATGAAGAGGACAATTGAACTGTAGATACATGTATAGTATTAGTTGCGTTCATATTGTTATTGTAAGGGTAAAAATTGACAAGTGAGCCAAATGGACAAGCCTGTTCCACTCTCACAGCTAAGGAAATTAGGTTACTAGGGAAACGAGAGAACTGTGAGCAGGGAAGCGAGTATTTTACAGCGATGATTTGTGAAAAAAAATTATGTTTTATTAAACTTTTATTTTAAGTTTCTTTCTGTTAAGTGTGCATTAACTTCCCCAGCACAAAATTTTTTAATGTGTTTCTAATTTAAAAGCAAACAGAAATACACAAAACTTAGCAGGCAGTTCGAACTATACAACGCAAAATTTAATCCCACTTCTTGCAAAAAAAATACCACCCCCAGTCCATTTTTGAAGGATTCTTCAGTGGTGAGACAAAACTGCCAAAGGACCCAATTTCCTTGTCCTCCCCCCAAGGATAGTATGTGATTGCCAAAGGTTTGAGCCGACTGCTGGCTGGCACGAGTTAGTGAGGGGGCGTTCCCCCCCCAGGAAATTTGTAAAATTTGCGTCTCTGAAATAGCATTTCCTGCATTCTGAGAATACATTTTAAAAACCAATGCATTTTTATACCAATGAATGAATCTCAGCTTCTCAAAACAAAGTTTTAATGGTTAAATTTGTAACAATTTGCATGATAAACATTCAAATACAGCATAGGTTTAATTATGCTAGCGAACGAAATGTTTAACTTCTTTTCAATGTTAAACTCATTTTTCTCAATACAGGTCCTAGGGCCCTGGATTTTGGGCAATAGGCCATATTTTTTCTTCAGTGGTGGAGCAGAGGAAGGGGCCCAGTTGGGCAAATGCCATACCAGTCCATGGTATTAAAAATGGTTTGCCCACCCCTTGTAATTTAGGTGTAACGTTTTTTGTGGAAGCATATAATTTGACATTTCCCCCTCCTTAGCCAATAGATTTTTGTCGAATTGCGTGACCAGCCACTGCCTGGTTTGCGAATTTGATAATTATAAAGTTAGGGTGCGACGACGATGTCTGGCGGACAATTCTAGTCGCTGAATAATCCTAATAAAATGTCAAATGGACAGTCATTCGAAACAGTGGACATTTGGACATAGCTGTATGACTGGCGCTGCGTATTTCTGGTGGTTATATTTGGTTTCTGAAGATCACTAGCGAGAATTTTTTGGTGTTTTTATACTTTAGTAAAACAAAATCTAAAAGTCATGCAGCTCGAAATTCAGACATGAACTTTGAAACATTTTCGAGGAATATGAAAGTTCGGCAAATGGTTATTTCAGCAAACGTCTTTTATTTCTAAATACCGTTTCAATTCGGTTTTATAAGATATGAATATTAAGGTGGCTCCCTACAGTTCTAGTTTAAAACAAGGAGAAAAATGAATTCTTCCCATTGCGACAGATATCTTTGTGTTTGTGAAACATTTAGGTCTTTTGGGGGGAGAAAACTGATAATGTAGCTATTATGTGTCCAACCTATAAGTTTATCATAAACCACACATGCATTGCAATGGCAACAGCAATGTATGAGCAATGGTAGTCATGTCCTAAAAAATCATGCAAAACATGAAATTAATCAAATTTCTTCGGTGAAATTTATTGAAAACTTTCAAGTAAATTTGGAATACTAAACGGAACATTATATAAAAAAATAAAGGTAAGTTGTAGGACAGGTTTTTTTATATAGACAAATTTCTGTTTCTAGAAATCTGTTTTGTAGAATCAGGTTAGATACACCGAAGGAAATTCACCGAAGGAAATGAAAGTTAAGCGATAGGAAAAATTCAAAAAAATTACGCGGCCAATAGCATTTCATCTCGACAAGAATGGCATCTGCGCATGTCCGTGTGTGATGCGTGGTGGTCTCGCGCGCCATCTCATCGCATTTTTATTACTGAATTACTGCTCGCTGGCGGTTTGTTCGAAGTATTTCACGATAGCAAGCAAAATTCTCTTCGATTTTGTCACTCTTGGCTTTTTGGATCCACGATCATTTGTCGGCGGGTTATACAGAACTCCAATCAGCCCATTCCTGCCAAACTTATCAAACGGACTTTGTAAATTCGCGAAGCTCAAGCCACTGCTGGCGATTCTGGACCATGCCTTTGCTGATTGTTCCATGCAGTTTGGTGTCGAGTGTCTGCACAAATTGATGTCGTTGGTTTAGATACAGATTGTCCTGGTAAGCTTCGTCAAATGGAATTGCTTGACAATGTTTGATCAGATCTTTTTCAGAAAGGTTTAACAGCTTGGAGAACAGAATACGATGTAGAGCTTTCACATCTTCAAGCGCGTCGTGGGCATCGAAACCTTGATCAAACCAAGCCTTGTAAACAGCAGACTGGTTTAACGCACAGCTATCTCCATTTCGATCTTTGAGAATCGATTATTTTACTAAATACACGAACAACGAGAGACCATCTCCAAAGAAAATGCCCAAAGACTGAAATTTCGCGATAATACTGCTGTTGCTGTTATAAGTATGACTGGGACGTCAAATGGCTTGGCATTGTGCCCAACAAGAACTGTACAGACCTTGTGTGCTGTCAATTTCTGGCATTCGCGAACGAAATTCTCGAAGTATTTGACAAAAAGGAGATAAAACCTCGTCACAGGTTAGTGCCAATACAGGATTTGATTGTTTAAATAGTACTCTCTTACCGTCTACAGTTTTTATCGAAAGGTTGTTTACTCTGGATGCATATTTATCAAAATTTTTATTTAGCAAAACATACTCGGAAAATGTGGCGAGACTTGACTGATTTATAGCTGCCAATTGTCATAATTCTGCTTGTTTACCTGTCGTATTTGTTTCAGTATCGATAAAACAATGTTATAAAATACTGCGGCATTGTCGTCGAATGCTATGGGAGAACATTGTTGTCTGGGGTATAGGGTGGGACAATCTCTTCATATGAAGCTAGTGTATCAGCTGGTAGGTCAGGGCAAAATAGTTCTTCATTTGCATTGGTACTGGTACTAGCTTTGGGTAATGTGAGGCCAATATTTGTCTCCTATGTCTTGCCCTACTTCTTTTCACTTGATAAAATACCATGTATTCGCTTGGTATGAATCTCATTCCTTCGCTTCTTGAACTTCAAGAATATCTTTCTCGTGTTGTCGCCATCTCTTTTCCTCTTCATTCCATCAACATATGCCTCACAGTTAGTACCAGGTTCAATCCCCAATGAATTCAGTTTTCTACAAATGTACCCATAACCAACATTTGTTTGTGCCATTGCGTATGCCACACGAAAATCATTGCTTTCACTCCAACCATAGAATCTAATCTTGGGATTCTTTGAACCAACCGTGCTGTTAAAAGACTCATTCCTCTGAGAATTAACGATTGGAGCAAGCTTTACAACCATGGTGAAAATGTCATTCAGGGCTAGTTTCAATTCCTCGCAATGCAAGTCCTTCCCATATGGTACATATGCATGCTTGTACATAGCTGGCTCCTGTTTTCATCGACACCTTGAGTCACTGCAGTCAGTGTGGATTCCAAACGCATGGGGTACTTAGGTACTATGTATTTAATGATGCTTGCATTGATTTTGGGTCACCCTTGTTTTGGTTGACGGCAACTGAAAAGCATTTCACGAGATAGTCGATTACCTTTCTTGACAATGATGAGCAATCGGGAAATCTTTTCATTTTGGCCAGATTATGTGATCTACTAGTTAACGATCTTTTAATATGAATTATATCACTAAATTTCTCAACTCGATATGGTACTTGTGCATGTATAAAACATTCAGTTGTTGAGTCATCATCCCCAGTGCAAGTTGAGTACTTAGCATTGTGTTTCGTTATGTTATTAAACAGCTGAACAGCAGATGTAGGCTCTATATCTTTTGATGAACCACTATGATTTTTTCGGCAGTCATGTTTGCGGGGAGTAGAGTTCATTTTTTTGTCATGATCACAAATTCTGTATTTTTTTGTCTTTGTTGTGTAGTCCATTTTTTTTCCAGTGTACAAGCCCATTACAGCTCCTTGTCCTCTGTTTGAATTGAAAGCTTTGCCTCGTTTCTGCCAACCCATGTCATACAAGCATGAAATTGGAACAAGATTATTCTCGTCTGGTCTTTCACCAATTTTAATTGCATGTTCTTTCTCTATTTCTATTGTTTCAACACATGTGTGTCCTGCAACTGCTTCAACGGCTTTACTAGCTTCTCGCGCTCACGGGTTTTGAATGAAGCACGGGTCATGGTTGGGATGTTCATAACTGACAAGATGCCATTCAATTGCGTCTCACCAATTCCGGTATAAAGACTGGCTAAAACTGACTTTGAATTGATGTCATATGCCATTGGACCAGAGGCTCCGGTCTTGTGGGCGAGTGATGTTTCAACAACATTAGTTTGACCACAAAACTGACATTGAATATCTAGCTTGCTAGCTGGACCATATAACTTTTCTTGTTGTACATTTCTCAATGACAGTGGTCCTTAAAGATAATAGAGTATTGCCATTGTTCTTATTGTTTATTTCAAACCTTTACATCAATTCATAATTATAATATATTTATACAAATTTAATTAACTGACACTTGTCTATTTTGAAAACAGTACTTTATTTTATAATTACATAGTGACCAAATTATATCAAAATTTTGGATCGAAATAATTCTGTACTTGAAGTGGAGAAATTAAATGCTTCACATTTGCCTTTGTTTACTTTCTTTGCAAAATTCACAACTCTCCAATCCTTTTCTCAGTTGGTTTATGTCAACAATTCGGCTTCCGTGAGCTTGTCTTGCCTAATGCCAAATCATGGAGTACGTGAATTATAATTTTAAAACAGACCTAAATGTTTACAATGATAAAAATTTCTCGGTGTTTACTGTGCCTACCCTTGTATTTATCAGGATGTCCGTCGCGGGTTCAAACTCTTCGATTTCGTCTTCGTTTTCCTCAACCTCGCTTGAAATATTTTCAGTTTTCCAAGCTTGAAGCCCCTCTTGTAATTTTATAATATTCCCTCGATTTCTTTTTTGTATTTTCTCAAATTTTCTCGTCAAAGAACGAATTTTAAAACGCGCTGCCATGTTTGTTTTTAAATTTTTATTTATCGGCATTTAAAAATCCCGCGCCGTTCCCGCTCGCGCGACATTTTCTAGCACCAGGCGATTCTGTCCCGCAACGCGCGAATTGTTTTTTTCGTTTCCAATCCCATGCTTTAACAACTGTAAGGAGCCAGCTTAAGGCTCGATAATTGAAATTTAATGTTCAACCCTGTCGAATTATTATTAGCTTTTTATATATTACCGATTGGGAATCTGTCAGTGAGTCTGTAAACCAATCGAATTCTTCTGGATCTCCGAAGGTGTCTTTACACGGTGAACTTGCAGTACTGCCACGTCGGCTCTATGTAAAATAATTATACATAATTATAATTAGAAACTCACTACTCCTATCAAAACGTAGGGAAGGTACATTTCGGTACTGCCCTCGAGCATCGTTGTATCGCAAAATGAAAGTCTTGGCTTGGGGCATGTCAAGATAGATAGATAGATAGATGGACGGATAGATGGATGGACGGACGGACGGACGGACGGACGGACGGACGGACGGACGGACGGACAGACAGATAGATTTATTTCTTAAAACTAGCTGCCGAAATAGCTAAAATACGTTTAAGATTACAAGGGTATAATTTAAAAATATGTAAAAAAATTTTAGTAAGTTACTTCTTCAATGAATTGTAAGTTATAAAACTATTCCTAAAGCCTTTAGTATTAAATTTAATATTAAATAAATGTTGTGTCCTAAGTTCCATGTTTAAATGTTCTAAACGGGGAGGCAGAAGGCCATGGAGCCTGTGAGATGAATCCGCAACTATTTTCTGGAACAACTTCGTTGTTAGATCATTCTTCCTTTCACTAAGACGTTGCAAGTTGGTAGATTTCAGAGCGTTTTCATAGTTATGATGGGGCAGAATTATTTTTAGGGCACACTTTTGGATTGAATCTAGGTCGTTTGACAAATACAATGAAAGGCTATTGTGGAAGACCGGGCGGGCATACTCCAAAACAGGTCTTATAGACAATTTGTAAAATTAAAGTAATCCCTTAAGTCCAATACTTGCTCGTTTTAGTTGGGTAAGATGGTAAAGGCGTTTACGACATTTCTTGATCACTTCATTCACGTGGATATTCCACTTAAGATTGTTAGCTCTATGCAATCCCACAACCTTCGCATTTTGGACAATATCCAGTGTAATGTTATTGATGGTAATTGGTTGAAAGCCGTTAACATTAGATCCAAAACAAATTCCCATTTCTTTACACTTTGTTTCGTTTAACTGTAACTTATGAGATGAAATGCTGTTCGCTAAAATATCCATTTGGTTTTGCAAGTTACTTGTTTGATCTTTCCCAATTACTTCACTGACAGTGGTATCGTCCACGAATTTCCACATTTCATTTTGCAACTTAAGGTCATTGATCATAATCAGGAATAGCCAACCCCCAACTTTGTCCCCTGCGGAACACCCGCATGTAAAAGTTCCCACTCCGAGAAACAATCATGTTTCAGCTTAACTCTTTGCTTTCTGCCAGAGAGAAAATCAACGATCCAGTTTAAAACCCATTTCGGTATATCGAATAAGCGTAGTTTTTCAACCAATAAGTGATGATCAATCAGGTCAAAAACAAGTTAAGGCAACAAAAAATGCTCTAAAAACATTTTTAGACGCAGTAGGGGATGTAGAAGAACTCACAGATAAAAGAATGCTCGACAAAAGTTTGGCGAAGTTTTTTGCTAACGCCAAAAAGAAAGACGGTACAAAATTTAAAGCAAGTGCTCTTTTAACCTTGTGACAAGGCCTGAGACGGCATTATTTGGACAGTTTGGGCTAAGATATTGTGAATGAAAAATCATTTTCGTACAGTACGAAAGTCTTCAAAGCTGCTGTAAAAGATTTACGACGACAAGGTCTTGGTTCTGTCAAACACCACGTCCCAATAACAAGAGCTGATATGACAAAACTATACAGCGGCGACACTGTTGTGTTTTACATGGATACTCCAAACGGCCTCCTGAACAAAGTGTGGTTTGAAGTGATGTATTTTTTATGCCGACGGGGGCAGGTAAATCTGAGAGCGATGACTATAGAAACGTTTGAGCTATCAACCGACAGCACAGGCAAGAGATACATCTTCCAAAAGACGGATGAACTTGACAAAAACCATCGAGATACCACGACAGGAACTGTGACACAAGGAAGAATGTACGAATTACAAGGTATGCGCTAGTATATGGATGCATTTTATTTGTATGCTTATGATTTATGAATGAATGAATAGTAAAGTTTAATTTATTCTATTTTTAGGAAACCCTGCTTGTCCTGTAGAATCATTTCTGAAGTATAAAAGTAAATTGAACAAAGATATTAATGCTCTTTGGCAACGACCACTTGACAGCTTCGTACCAGAGGAAGAAACCTGGTTTTGTAAGGCTCCGCTTGGAAAAAACACTTTGGCAAATATGATGGCAACTATTTCTCGTCAAGGGGAACTATCGCAAAGATATACAAACCATTCTATTCGTTCAACAGCAATAACTGTTTTGGATGAAGCCGGTTTGTTTCTTAAAACTGAATAAATATACCATAATGCAAGTTTCTATTTGCATATTATTAACCTGATTTTCTCTTAACAGGATACGAAGCTAGGCATATCATGGCTATCTCAGGTCATAGGAACGAAGCAAGCATCAGGTCATATTCTGCGCACGTATCAGAGGAGCAGACGCGTAGGATATCCGAATCTTTAACCCTTTCCACTGCCGACGATAGAGCTGTTGATGTCTATCAACGTCCTGCAACATCTGCATCGCCTGCAAGATCGCCCATACGGAATGATTCTGACCATCCTTCTACACCCAATTTAAACCAAATAATGAATACAGTCTTATCACCTGTAATGTCCACATCGACGGACGTCTTCAAATACAACAGATTTGATGGCTGTACGATTAACATTAACGTTCAAAAATAACAATTTAACAGCTTAATTATATACACTTAAACCTTAATTTATTCATCGTTACGTTTACGTTTTCTATTACATTACATTGTCTTAATAAAATGATGATTCAACTATTTTTTCTGCGGCGTATTTTTTCGGTATAATATATCATTTATAGACCCTCCGCTCGGGGGATTCGGCAAAATATTACCCTCAGCGATGATATTTCCCTCGGGGCAAGCCCCTCGGGAAATATCATCGCTGAGGGTAATATTTTGCCGAATCCCCCTCGCTCCCGGTCTATAAATGATAAAAGTTGCACCTCTCACATTGTATAGAATCTGATGTTCTTATTCTGGGTTAGATATATTATGCTAATTTGTATAATATAGTATTATTTTTACCTAACCATATCATAACCTATGTAAACCTTTGTATTTCTTTAAAAAAAACAGGATATCAGTTGATGTCCACATCATTATATCTGTGTTGTATGCAGATTGATTGAGATAATAAAATAAAAAGCGGAATGTGCAAATAATTAGTTCTGGCAAAATGTATTGCTTTGAATCCCTTGTCTGTAGGTCAACAATAAATGCATGCAGTGCCAGTCAAATGGTCATGAAAGTGGACACCTTTTTCAAACAGATTTTCTTCCCGTGTGAGTAAACCGTAGTACCCAGAGAAAACCTACAACACTTGGTTCAGGGTTGACTCATTTCAAAATTCCAACACCAATATTGCAAAGAGAAATTAGATTTTTAACTCTTTCTTGACAACCGGTTTCGCATTACATTTCGATTCAATTTTTCTAATATAAATATCTCGGCGAGTATTTACCCCCCTTTTAAATAAATGCCACCATTGAAATCCTCATAAAATAACCTTTCGAACGGGGGGTCAAGTGCCGTCAAAACATTACACAAAGCGAAAAAATCATATATTTACTCACCGCTTGGCCAAAGATTCTAAATTTCATATCCACAAGATCTTGAATACCCCTTGAACCTTTCGTCATTTGCTAAACGGCTATACGTGTAAAATACTCTCTGTATTCAAGCACTTTCGTGTAGAAAGTTTCGTATGTATACGCCGACTAGAAATATTTATTTTGAATTTTTCAAGATATCGGGTTTTACTCGCACTTGCGTACATTGCGCAATAATTGGCCAATAAGAAGCTCCTTTGGCCGGGATGACGTCAAACTCACGCGTGTAGGTGCAATTTGACCTTGCGAATCCATTTCTGGCCTTTCCAGGGTCATACGATACAAACGCCGCATTGTTTTGACGGTTTTCAGTCGTATTTCCGGTTGGGATTAATTCACTTTGAGCTCACAGTCGGACAAGAAATGGAAATATATTGATAAAAGATACAGATTTGTAGATTCAGGGTTGCAAATAACACTCCAAAAACACTATTTAATGGGGATTCGAACAAGACTATTACAAAGACGATATGTTCGATGGGGCCGAAGTTATTTTCGGCGAAAGGTATGGCTAGTCTATAATAATCTGTATTTTTGTTCAGACAATTGCGTAATTTGATACAATATGATCGTTTTGACTTTCAAAGGCCCATAAATAGTTACAATACTAATAATGACTAGAACTATCGTTTGGAACTAGTTGATATTTTATTTCTGAATCGAATGGTGGTATTTCTGTCTTCATAGCATGCACTGAACCGAAAGTATGAAATTTCGAGCCGTCGGGGCCTGTTAAGAAAGAGTTAACTTTCACTTCACTAAAATATTTGAGTTGTTTCCTTTGCTATCTGGGTATTTATAGAAAACCAGTCATCAGAGAAACATACTCTGACATCATGAAATGGACAACTATTTGGCAATTCCCATCACTTGCTGGTCATTGCCACAGTACCAGTATAAATACATGTAATAATGGTACATACATGCTGATAATTTTGGAGACATAGCCACATAGGTAGAAATGATTTTGGTAGCAATGACCAGTTATGCATGAGCATTTTAAGAATTACCAATTATCTTAACAATGTTTTGATATGTTTGCAACAGCTGTGAAGAGTCATTGGGTATAAAGGGACCAAGGGTGACAATCCATCACAGAAAGGAAGGGCTGGAGGGAGCCAATACACTATTTATCAGCTATTTAGCTCTTATAATAATTAATAATGTCATAATGTGAATGCTGAGAGAGATTGAGAGAATACATCTTCACAACTGTTACAATATACCTGACTATACTTTAATGGATTATAATATTTCAGACATTACTAGCAAACATGCTGAGGAAATCCATTGACATTCCACTCTCCAATCCATATATAGTTGAAAAACTTTGCCCAAAGTAGCCAGGCACAACATCCTTGGACAACCCAGATAATAAAGCAAATCACTCGTTGACAAAGCGCATTAAAGTAAAATAAATAACAATAGCCATCTTGACATCACAGTGAAAACAAAATGGTTCAACAAATCCGTACAAACCCCGAACATTTCCTACGATTATTGAAAACATGATAAACTGAGTAAATAAATATCGGTTTCTGATGCTCGTTTTGCCCCTTATCCGCCGTCGAATTCCTGCCAGCCACAGCCGAGCATCCCTTTGTAGTAATGTATTGGCGCTGGATTTATAGAATTAGTCATCTTCCGTGGCACATTTAATCCAGAGAATCACGAGCTTCGAGTAAAATTTCAACTTGGTCGGCACATTCATCCACGAAAAACGCGACGTTTTGTGGCAGCTTTTCTCCCGAGTGCAGCTACCAAGGGCCTCCATTACTTTCTGAAAATAATCTACCGGCCGTTCGACGCAGTTGTCGTTCAAAATATCTTGATTTAAGACCTCGTCAAGACTAAAATTGCCATTTCGAACGGCCGCCATCTTGTCAAATTAATTATGCTTACGCAGCATTTTTTGAAGAATACCGCAGGTCATGATAACATAAGTGGCCAGCCAGATTCATTGTATTACCTGACCCACTGTCATGTGACTGCAACCATTTTATTATGCCAATTCCCCAGGGTGAAATTCATTATGCTTGTGCACATGTTATCGATTTGCAGGATGACAACGTTCATCAAGATTATTTCAATTATGCTTTGCAAGCTTGTAATCATAACAAACCAATTGGAGAGAGGCTCTTGAACTTTACAATGTTCTCAAGCAATGTGCATATAACGGGATCCATTGAACGACATCAGTTTCAAACAATTGCTCATAGACATAGGCTATCTAATCTTCCCAGTTTTATTACTGTATTAGATAACATAGAACCGTCGTATCTAATCTAATACAGTAATAAAAATGTATTGGTTTGGTCCATTGGCTTTTCTTCATTTGTCTTTTCTCTGAATCTGCACATATATTAAATAATATTCAACTAAATCCCATTTTACCTCATTTAACTGTCAATCCAATTAAATTAAAAATTTATAACGTGGTAAAAGTTTAATATCAACTCAACTAACATATCATATCATATGAACACATTTTAACACAAAAAGATACCATAAACATAAAATTAACTAGTTTTCATATCAACCATAAACTTTAGTATGAAACATGCAAACAATGTCACACTTCATCAGATTACCTGGTACTCAAAAATCGTAACATAACGAGCAACAACTGCAATATTATAATATGATAACGTTCGTTACATTAAGGTATGAACAATCCAAATGTTTTGAAAGTGTCAAAAGTTACCGAAATTAATGCAACAGAACGATTAACACGGTGTCGTACTTCCTTGTTTATGGTACGTACTTCCTTGTCTAATGCTTGGTGGTATAAAATGGCCAATTTTATACCACCAAGCGCTTATCCAAAAATCAAATGCTAAAATAAAGGCAGAGTTTGAGCCAAAATGTTTAAATTCTTGTTTATATCAGATACATTATTAAGTCCCGTCTTAACCTTATTAACCAAGAATGTTTAACTAAGGCGTTTGAAAATAATGACAACATCATCACTTTTATTTTTCAAGAATTTGTAACTCAGGAGGAACTAATCCTATTGATTCAAAATTTTTGGTGAACACTTGTAATAATGATATAAACAACATATAAAATTTCCAATATTGTAACTGAAATTCGAGGAAATTGGACGGAAACCTGCATAAGACCCATTCTGGCATGCTGTACTAATAGCAGCATTGTGAACTTTGAAGGACTGTCTTAAATTTATTGATTGAATGATTAATTTGCACAATTTTATGTCACAATACGAAATGGCCCAAAAGAAAGAAATTATGTATTGCCAGATCTGGAAAGCAAGGAGACAAAAGTTTATTGTTCACGCTTACCAATTACTGGATTAGTGATTTGAATGGGTCCCAAAATAAAGCTGTATATAATCTTTCAGGTAATTTCGACATTTCCAAAAATTGTACTATTCTTTGCATCTGTAATATGCAGTAAAGAAATATCAAATCCAAACAAGGGAGCATGCCAGAAACATTTGTGTAAATTTATACTAACCTTTTAATTACATGTCAACATTTTCAATTTTCATCGGGCGCCATTTTGAATGTTGAAAGCGGTATATATTATTAGCTTATCGCAGGCGCAATAATTTATGTTCATATTTGACATTAATTTATGTTACACGATGATACTCCGAAGGGAGACCGAGAAA